ACACCAATGCAAGAGCGGTGGTGCAGGACAAGGTAACATAGTGACCCAGGTGTGGAAAGGGAATCCAGCTTAGCCGATATGTAGGATTATGGGATGTGTCTCAGTGTAATTATGTTTAAACAATGGACTTTGCTCTTACTTGTCTCAGTTACAAGTGCAGTACAGCGGTATGTGGGATTGGTGTGCAAAGAAAAGGCAAACAGGGCACTCTATAGATTTTGTAGAGGGATACTGTTGTGCGTGCACCGCTGGGCCCTGCTTTGACAACATCGGTATTCTGACAGAGTCTCCTCTCTCAATCTAGATCTAACTGCCTGCAGCCTCTGCCACACAGGAGCTGGAGGGGGGAGCTGAGAAGAATACTTACAAGCCTCTACCACTGTGTTGGAAATAGGCAAACACACACACGGACATACACACACACACACAAACTTTCACAGTATATCCCTGCCAAGTCAAGCATTGTGGTGTGGCAGGAGGAGCCTCGGGAGTCTAACAGCCAAATGTGTCCTCTAGCATTAATGGCTGCTTCGGCTGACTGAAGGGGGAAAACACCTTGAAGAATCATACATCTGAACAGCCACTTGGCTCCAGCAAGGGACAAACTGATTGACATTTGCTGAAGTCTTGCAAAACACGCCCGCCCTCTAATACAGAGCACACATGCTCGCAGTGACTTAGCTCTTCTCTGAATTATACAGCAATAACAACACAGGAGAGAACAAAAAAATGCGGAGCTGAAACTTAAAAACTTAAAAATAAATTTATCATTCTCTTGAGATACAACCAGTATTTTTCCTTCTTTCACGTTCTAACTCAGATGACGCTTAGAAAATATTCATCCCAAGGTATTGAAATTGTCTGAGTATAAATCATGGTGAGCATGCCTGGCCCTTAGCCAAAGATCACCACGGGTGTTATAAACTCCTCAAGCAAAGAATATGACCTGTAGAAATGGAAAATTACTTCCAGGGATCTGCTACTTCACTGGATCCCCAGCAAAGATAAGGGGATAAACTGAGAGCAGATGTTGGTGTCAACAAAGCGCTGCTTTTGATCTATCGTGTATCAGAGACAAACAAAAATGGAAGCTCTTTTGTAAGACTGGAACTCCCCTCGTGGTTGCATGCCTCCATCAGTGGGTCACACTGCAGTTTAAATCAGTGTTTCCATTTTGCTCAGTGATGGGAGTGATTCCTCATTTGAGGTCATGTTTTGCTGTGTATGTACTGTAACAGTGTGTAGTTACAGAGAGGAAAAACAAGTTCAATTCTTCATCTTCTCGGTTTGGCCAATTATTTTGATTTGGAAAGACAACGTGTTGATAGATGCTAATGTTTCAAATATGGATCTTGCTGAAAAGAAGCAGGAAGTTATAATTCTTGAATGCTTCACAAACATCTTCAACCCAGTGGCACAGTTACACAATTTTTTTTTATTGAATGTTACACAGAGGTGATCTTTGACCTGCTGATGTTCCAAGTGAGCAGTAGTGCCAAATTCAAAATAAAATTCTCAAGGTGTTTCAAAAATATGTTGACAAAAAAGAAAAAGAAAAAAGATAGGACACTACCTCAACAACTTCTTCAAACTGCTGCTGTTTATCCAAGAAAGCCTGAAAATATCTGTGCACAAACTACAGAGTATGACCCGCAGCTGGGCTATGATACAAAGCATGACAGAAAACTAGTAACTAAAGGATGTTAAGCTCAGTGTCGTCTTATTGTACTATTGGTTTAAAAAATCACTTATAGATGTATATACTGGAATACAGATTCTGAATCCAAAAATTCCAGTCTGCCTTCAGATATTAAAGTTCTCATATTATGCCTTGTGAGGTTTTATTTGTCTGTTATACTTTCTTTATTCATGTAAAGAATTCCATGCTGTTCTCTCCCAGGAAACACGGTACTTGTCTTCATCATTAAGTAAGACAATGGCATAATGGCTACTTACCTAGTTCCTTTGGTACACTCTCAAACAAGTGCTTCAACTAAATCCACATGGAGCCAGATGCCATGCAGTCCACTATCAATTCCTCGCTAGAGTAACTTCTGCTAATTCTTACTTGAAAATATCTCAGCTATGAACAAAGCACACCAAATGTTCTGCTGCTGGTTGCAACGGTGAACACAAGAGTTCTCACAGCTTCTGAGCTGTTTTACTTCTGATGGCAATGTTGCAGCAATAATAAGGCAATCGCCATGTGTTTAATGGTAGAATGGTGCAAAGCTATGTACTAGCCACTCTATTTTAATAGAGGAATTTCCAGTGACAACATTCCCAATTTTCGGTTTTTGTCATACAGTAAACAGAGCATAGAATAGAGACATACAACGTAACACATTAAGACTACTGTAAACCTGCCGCTTGGCATATTTTTCAACCTCTGCTCTGTGCTGACAAAACGACCATTTACATAATGTGCCGTGATTTACACTTAAAACGACTTGTTTTCTGTTAGCAGAAACTAACCTGAGTTAAGGTGGTGAAGCACTTCACCAAAGCTGCCTGACCATAGACAGCACAAAAGATAAGCTGTTTCAAGCCGTTGCCGTCTTGGTATTTTCAAACTGACTTGCTAAAGCACAATTCAGTATCCAGTGAGCACATCTCGAAAAATCTTCCTTTTTGACACCAAAATGTAATAAATAGACTTAATGCTTTATATTTATACAGTATAACCTGAAATGAGCTACTTTGACTATAAACCCATTAGCAAAATGTCAACAGCTCCTGCAGAGGGCCTTCTATAGGACAGCTCTCGCCTCCTGGTGGCCGTTACAAAAAAATGCAGGTTTAAGGCAGTTATGCATTAGCTTCGTTTGTTCAGATCTGGAAACTAGGCCCATCTTTTATACTGTCTATGTGTCTGACTTTCTTCCTGCCCACTGACCAATCAGAGGAGGATGGACTTTTTGGGAGGTGACCAATAAATGAGCTAAAACAGAATGATTCAAACACAGATGTGATGATGATGAGTGATGATGTTTTGCATCATCACACTAATTTAGATACTAGACAAAGACAATGTGGCTAAATACAAAATGCAGTTTAAATGATTAGTTAATT